CCTCCCCTAGGTCGACTCAGCCTTAAATGAGTACCTGGTGCGGTGTGTAAACATCGCCACTGGGGAGACAAAGGCGGTCGGGCGTGGTGCTGGCCACCCAACCCCCTCATGTACCTTTCTGGCCTTCATAGGTGCTCGCTAACAGCACTTGCCCCTACAGTCTATTAAGGCTATACGGGGGATCTTTGTCTGTGTGTGAGTGTGTGAGTGAGTGTGTGCACTGCGTGTGGAGTGTGTGCAAAGAGTGTGGGGGAGTGTGTGGATAGGTGGGTGAGGGTCAGTGTGTGAGTGAGTGTGAGTGAGTGTGTGGGTCAGTGTGTTTGTGAATGGTTGAGTGAGTGTGGGTGAGTGGATGCGTGTGTGGGTCAGTGTGTGGGTCAGTGTGTGGGTGAGTGTGTCTGTTAGGCCTATGATACCATCAACAGGCCAGGTCTGTGGGCTGTTCTTCGTGCTTTCGGAGTCCCTGACTCTCTGCTCACAATCATTAAGGGCCTTCATGATGGTGAGCGGGCCCGGGTAAAGCTACGTGGTCAGGAGTCGGAGCCATTCCCTGTTCACCTTGGGGTGCGACAGGGATGTCCTCTGGCTCCAACATTATTTAACATTTATTTTGACCACGTAGTTCGTGAAGCCTTCAGTAGCTGTACCGGAGGAATTTCCATCTGGTACCGGGTGCGGTCAGGGGATGGCTCCCTATTGGTCAACCACGTTATGTATGCCGATGTTCTGGTAATTGTAGCTCACTCAGAGGAGGAGTTGGAGGCGCTGCTGCTGAAACTGGAGCGTGCCACTAAGAGGTGGGGCCTGACCATCAGCCTCACCACAACGAAGCACCTGCCTGGGTATTTTGTACCATAGGGCACTCCTCCCCCACAACTCCCAATCTGTGATGGGGCAGTTGTGGAGAGAGTGGAGAGTTTCCCATACCTGGGCAGTGTGCTTATGACCAGTTCTGGTTTGATAGCAGAGATTTCACTCTGAATCAGTTGGACGGGATGATATTTTCATCGGTTGCGTAACGCTGTGTGGAAGCTACCTGGTCTGTCGCTCCGCACGAAGCTTCGGCTCTTCTCGGCCACAGGCATTCCCTCCCTTCTCTACGCTTGCAAAACGTGGACACCCCTAATGGAGCATCTTCGCCGGTTAGAAACATTCAGGCTGGCCTGCCTACAATCCATCCTGGGTTTAACCAGGCTGGATTGTGTGAGAAGCTCACAAATCTTTAAAAGATCTGGTCAAAGTCCCATCGGTGAGCTCCTCCGGCAGGCAAGGCTGCACTGGCTGGGTCATGTAGCCCGCATGCCCAGCCACCACATGCCTAAACAGCTTTTGTTCGGCCGGATAGAGGGGGCTAAACGGGCGTGGCACGGGCTAGAGAAGAGATGGAGTGATGTGGTACAGGAGGACCTGGAGCTGAGTGGACTTGCCGATGACTGGTACCAGCGGTGTCAAGATCGGCCTCTGTGGAGGAGGCTCGTGAAGGACGCTACTGGGCAGTTGGAGGCAGTCGCCCTCCAACAACAACGGAGGGCGGAGGAGCGACGCTCACAACAACGAGCGGAGCGCCGGGTGCCTAAAGCACTGCAAGTTGGCACAGTAGGGGGCACAGGTGGTGCATCAGCCAGTCATCTCGGTCATCTCGATCAGTCGACCCGTGGCACCTGCTGGGTCTGCCCCGTGACCTCCTGCCAGCGGGCGTTCGACACTTCACGTGGCCTCAAGGTGCACATGGCCTGGCACAAGCGTCGTGGTGACGTCACCGCCACTTAGTGGCGAAGGGCAGTTGTTGTTGTTGTGTGTGGGTGAGTTTTTGAGTGTGTGGGTGAGTGGGTGAGTGTGTGGGTGAGTTTGTGGGTGAGTGGGTGAGTGTGTGGTTGAGTGTGTGGGTGAGTGGGTGAGTGTGGATTCTGTTAGATTCTGTACTCGGCTCTATACTGGGTCACGTGCTGGGTTCCATGCTGAGTTCTATACTGGACTCTAGTGGTTCTATACTGAACTCTAGTGGGTTCTAAACTGGACTCTAGTGGGTTCTATACTGGACTCTAGTGGGTTCTAAACTGGACTCTAGAGGGTTCTATACTGGACTCTAGTGGGTTCTAAACTGGACTCTAGAGGGTTCTATACTGAACTCTAGAGGGTTCTATACTGGACTCTAGTGGTTCTATACGATGCTTTCCCCCCACCTATCCTGATAATCGATTCTCCCTCGGCAACCCCCACAGAAATCCTAATTTTAAAAAATCACTAATAGATCTACATCTAATCACTAATAGAGTTCAATGCCGAGGAATCGATTGCATTGAAGGGCCGTCAACAATGGAATCGATAGGAAATAAATAGAAAATCGACTCGATGAATCGATCCAGGCGTTACCACGGACGCGTCGCCTCTCATCTCCATATAAGGTGGCGCGCGGCGGGCGGAAGTGACGTCATCGCGTTTTTGGAGGTGGGACCTTAAGGTGGTGACGTCATCGGAGTGGCCGGGGGGGTGGAATGTAGGCGGTGACGTCACGGACAGAAGGGGTTCGGCCCTCTGTTCGCGTGACGTCATGGCGCTTGTGGCGCGCTTGACGTGAGATCGGTGACGTCACGAGGAGGCGTTGGGTGTGAGGGGATGACGTCACTTGAAATGGTCTTTGATAATTAACAAGTTCTGTATTCTTAGGTTTTTTCGGTAAAGTCACGTAGGTAAAACATCAAAATTAATAAAAATAAAATAAAATAAAGATCACGACGTTTCGGAGGCAACACAACGTCGTGATCTTTATTTTATTTTATTTTTATTAATTTTGATGTTTTACCTACGTGACTTTACCGAAAAAACCTAAGAGTATGAATCCTTGCAGTCACGAAAGCTTCAAATCTAGAGCAAGTTCTGTGCCCTCCTCTGGCAATAAAGAGTTAATTTTAGATTTGAAGCTTTCGTGACTGCAAGGATTCATACTCTTAGGTTTTTTCGGTAAAGTCACGTAGGTAAAAATAAAAATAAATAATAAAAATAAAGGAAATAATAGTAGAAATAAAATAATAAATCACTATTATTATTTTTATTATTATTTATTTTTACCTACGTGACTTTACCGAAAAAAATAAGAGAATAAAGAGTTAGGTGTGTCAAGATGTTCAAACACCAACTCGACATTACCTCTTGTGGTGAACATGCACAAAACATGCTCTGGCAATCATATGAACCCATTCCCTTTGAAACTCATTGACCCAGAGGCCGTCCATAAATGACGTCACGCACCTGGGGGGGGGAGTCAGAGAAATGTGACGTCACATCAAAGTTCAAGTTCAAGTTTCATGTATTAGGTGTAGAGCCCTGTGAGCCATTCGGCTCTTGAATCGGGTGCAACCGCAACAAACAAAAAACAAAAACATGAACAAGAAAACATCTTAAAGTGAATATGTGACTGAGTGCAAACAGGAAATGCAAGAAAAGACAGCAAAATATTGCAGAAAAAACACTGTACACCAACGCTGTGTGCAAAAATCCCAGTGGGATGCAAGTCAAACAACAACAACCATAAGACAACTTAGATTAAGGTACTACAACAAACAAAGATGGCTAAACCAATACACTTTTCGAAATCACCAAAATAAAGCCATGAAAGCAATGAAAAAGCAATCATAGGAACTGTGACGGACTTTTTTTCACAATAAATACGCAACTTTAAATAAATACAGGCAACACGTTCTACTTAATAAATAGACGTTTTAATAAAAGTTTTCTCCTTCAACATCAGAGTGCAGCGCCACATTAAATACGCACTACAATGACAATAATTAAAGCCATTTGAAGCATTTTTATTTATTTTTGGGGGGGGCAGAGCTTTGTGACGTCATATTTGAGGGGGGGGGGGTCTGACTTTTTGTGACGCCGTGTGACGAAGGGGGGGGGGTCAAAAAAATCGTCCAAAATCGCGTGACGTCATTTATGGACGGCCCCCTACCCACCCGCCCACCCGCCCTATTGTTTGTTGTCGCTCTGGCCTCGTGCCCCCCTGCTGGGCATCAGTGACACAAAGAGCTTCACTGCTCATCGGATTCCGATTCTGTTTCCGGTGTGGGAGGGGAGATGGGGGATGACGTCACGAGAATAGGAGGGGGCAGAGTGGGGGGGGGGGGCGCCCGACACGCCCACACCACGTGACGCGAGAATTCGCGTCACGTGACCCGGAGACGCGGACTTCCGGGGTGAGGGGTTCTCGGTGGCACCGCTGGCGACTCGCGGCGCTCCACATCCACTCAACAACAACAGCAGCAACCACCAGCAGCAGCACCACAGCTACTCAACAACAACAACAACCACCAACAGCAACAACACCAGCAGCAGCACCACCAGCACCACCACCAGCACCACCACCAGCACCACCACCAGCAGCACCACCACCAGCACCACCACCACCAGCACCACCACCACCAGCACCACCACCACCAGCACCACCACCAGCAGCACCACCAGCAGCACCACCAGCAGCACCACCAGCAGCACCACCACCACCACCACCACCAGCACCACCAGCAGCACCACCAGCAGCACCACCAGCAGCACCACCACCAGCACCACCAGCACCACCACCAGCACCACCACCACCAGCAGCACCACCAGCAGCACCACCACCAGCACCACCAGCACCACCACCACCAGCACCACCACCACCACCAGCACCACCACCAGCAGCAGCACCACCACCACCAGCACCACCACCAGCATCACCAGCATTACCACCAGCACCACCACCATCAGCACCACCAGCACCACCAGCACCACCACCAGCAGCAGCACCACCACCACCAGCAGCACCACCAGCACCACCAGCACCACCACCACCACCAGCACCACCACCAGCAGCAGCACCACCACCACCAGCACCACCACCAGCATCACCAGCATTACCACCAGCAGCACCACCACCAGCACCACCAGCACCACCAGCACCACCACCACCAGCACCACCAGCACCACCACCAGCAGCAGCACCACCACCACCAGCACCACCACCAGCATCACCAGCATTACCACCAGCAGCACCACCACCAGCACCACCAGCACCACCAGCACCACCAGCACCACCACCACCAGCACCACCACCAGCAGCAGCACCACCACCACCAGCACCACCACCAGCATCACCACCAGCACCAGCACCACCACCATCAGCACCACACAAACACAGCAGCACCACCACCAGCGACCCCCCCTCTCTCTCTCCGCGTGAGTCGCTCGCTGCGTCTCCCACCCCCACACCGCACCCCATGCCGTCTGCGGCAAACTTAGTGCCGATTGTTGCTGCCCGCCTGGCGCTAAAGCTGCTCGGAGACTCAGGCACGGAGACTCGTAAGCCGCACCACACAGAGACCCGTAGACACCCACACAGAGACTCGTAGACTCACAAACACATAGACTCACCACACAGAGACCCGTAGACACCACACAGAGACCCATAGACACTACACAGATACCCACTACACAGAGACCCACAGACACCCACACAGAGACCCATAGACTCACCACACAGAGACCCATAGACACACAAACACATAGACTCACCACACAGAGACCCATAGACACCACACAGAGACCCGTAGACACCACACAGAGACCCATAGACACACAAACACATAGACTCACCACACAGAGACCCATAGACACACAAACACATAGACTCACCACACAGAGACCCATAGACACCACACAGAGACCCGTAGACACCACACAGAGACCCATAGACACACAAACACATAGACTCACCACACAGAGACCCATAGACACCCAAACAGAGACCCATAGACACTACACAGAGGCCCATAGACACACAAACACATAGACTCACCACACAGAGACCCATAGACACCCACACAGAGACTCGTAGACTCACAGACTCACTCACACAGAGACCCACAGACTCATCACACAGAGACCCATAGACACTACACAGAGACCCATAGACACCCACACAGAGACCCATATACACTACACAGAGACCCACTACACAGAGACCCATAGACACCCACACAGAGACCCACTACACAGAGACCCATAGACACCCACACAGAGACCCATAGACACTACACAGAGACCCACTACACAGAGACCCACTACACAGAGACCCATAGACACCCACACAGAGACCCACTACACAGAGACCCATAGACACCCACACAGAGACCCATAGACTCACAGACTCACTCACACATAGACTCAGACTCACCACACAGAGACCCACTACACAGAAACCCATAGACACCCACACAGAGACCCACTACACAGAGACCCATAGACACCCACACAGAGACCCACTACACAGAGACCCACTACACAGAGACCCATAGACACCCACACAGAGACCCACTACACAGAGACCTATAGACACCCACACAGAGACACACCACACAGAGACCCATAGACACCCACACAGAGACCCATAGACACTACACAGAGACCCACTACACAGAGACCCATAGACACCCACACAGAGACACACCACACAGAGACCCATAGACACCCACACAGAGACCCACTACACAGAGACCCATAGACACCCACACAGAGACCCATAGACTCACAGACTCACTCACACATAGACTCAGACTCACCACACAGAGACCCACAGACTCACACAGAGAGCTCCACTACACAGAGACCCACAGACTCACCACACAGAGACCCATAGACACCCACACAGAGATCCACTACACAGAGACCCATAGACACCCACACAGAGACCCATAGACTCACCACACAGAGACCCATAGACTCACCACACAGAGACCCATAGACTCACCACACAGAGAACCATAGACTCACCACATAGAGACCCATAAACTCATCACAAAGACCCATAGACTCACCACACAGAGACCCACAGACTCACCACACAGAGACCCACAGACTCATCACACAGAGACCCACAGACTCATCACACAGAGACCCACAGACTCACCACACAGAGACACACAGACTCACCACACATAGACCCACAGACTCACCACACAGAGACCCACGGACTCACCACACAGAGACCCACAGACTCACCACACCGAGACCCATAGACACCCACACAGAGACCCATAGACACCCACACAGAGACCCATAGACTCACAGACTCACTCACACATAGACTCAGACTCACCACACAGAGACCCACAGACTCACACAGAGACACAGACTCACCACACAGAGACCCACAGACTCACCACACAGAGACCCATAGACACCCACACAGAGATCCACTACACAGAGACCCATAGACACCCACACAGAGACCCATAGACTCACAGACTCACTTACACATAGACTCAGACTCACCACACAGAGACCCACAGACTCATCACACAGAGACCCACAGACTCATTACACAGAGACCCACAGACTCACCACACAGACACACAGACTCATCACAAAGAGACCCACAGACTCACCACACAGAGACCCATAGACTCACCACACAGAGACCCACAGACTCATCACACAGAGACCCACAGACTCACCACACAGAGACCCACAGACTCATCACACAGAGACCCACAGACTCACCACACAGAGACCCATAGACTCACCACACAGAGACCCACAGACTCACCACACAGAGACCCACAGACTCACCACACAGAGACCCACAGACTCATCACACAGAGACCCACAGACTCACTACACAGACTCACTACACAGACTCACCACACAGAGACCCACCAAACAGAGACACAGACTCATAGACTCACCACACAGAGACTCATCGACACACTACAAAGAGACACAGACACATAGACTCATAGACACAGAGACCCATAGACAGACAGACTCATAGACTCACCACACAGACTCACCACACAGATCCATAGAATCACCACACACAGATTCAGACTCACACGTGTGTTTGTGTTTCAGCGTTGTGATGGCTGCAGTGATGATGACGTCATCCGATTTGGTCACGAAGGAAACGCAACTCAACCTGGATTGTGACGCATCAACAACATCAACGACAACAACAACATCGTCATCACCCTCAACGCTCACATCAAACTCAGCAGCAACAACAACAACAACATCACCACCATTATCACTATCAACAATACCACTTCAACCATCAACACCATCGCCACCACTACACTCGGGCCAACAGGCAAACCCAAGGGTACAGGCGGTGTCCCCGCTACAGCCTCGCCTACAGCCCACGCAACAGTCACCCTGTCCCCCGAACCCAAGTCTACAGGCAGCCCCTAAGCTCCCCCGAGACCAGCAGGCGGTCGCCAAGACACAGGCGGTCGGTCCCCTACAGGCCGAGCTACAGCCGGCCTCTCGACCGGCCTCTCCGCCGCACTCCGAACTACAGGCAAACCCGTCGGCGCATTCGGTCTCTTGGCTACAGCCGGAGAGGCCGTCGCCGAGGGTACAGGCCGTCTCCCCGCTGCGGCCAAATCCGCTCCACCCCGCTCAGCCCCCTACTCTGACTCCACTACAGCCCAACTACGAACTGCAAGCATGCTCGCAGCTACAGCCCAACCGGTGGCCGCCTCCCGTGCTACGCCCCGATCAGCGGCCGAACCCGGCGGTCCCTCCGCTACAGGCGGACCGACAGCCGGGCTACGACGCACAGGCAACGTCGCTTCTACACTCGGACTTCCAGCCGGGCCTACAGTCGAACAACAACCCCGTGCCACATTCAGTCTCTCCGCTACACCCGAGCCAGCAGTCGGCCGCTTGGCTACTGTGGAATCGACAGTCGGGCAACGGCCCAACGCCACCGTCGGCCTCTCCGCCGCAGCCCCTCCGTGCACCGCAGGCGGACGGCGGTTGTGAGCGGGCGCCGGCGTTCCCCTGGCAACTGGACCCCCTTTCCGCCTCGGCCCCCCGCAGATCTTCTTCCCCTGGGCTCTTAGAACGCTGGGCCCAAGCGTCGCCGGCACGGTCCTTCGGCAACGCGGCCGCTCACGCCGTGGGAATTCCGGCTCCTGGCCCCGTGGAAATTGCGCCTCCTTCCTGGAGAATTCCGTTCCCGTCTCCCTCCTCCGGAACTTTGGCAGCGGCCGCATGGGGAATGCCGAGCGCTGCGTGGGGGGAATCCGAGACTTCCGCAGGAATCTCTGCTCCTTCCCCGGGAGGGCTCTGGGCGGCTTCACCGTGGACCTCCGGAATTCCGAGTGCCGCGTTGGGAAAGCCGTCACTGCCATCTCCACCGTCGTCGAGAAATCCGGGAATGTCGACCCCTCCGCTGGGGTATCGTGAGAAGTCTCCCGGAGCGTCGACCCCTCCGCTGGGGTACCGTGAGAAGTCTCCGGGAGGGTCGACCCCTCCGCTGGGGTACCGTGAGAAGTCTCCGGGAGCGTCGACCCCTCCGCTGGGGTACCGTGAGAAGTCTCCGGGAGGGTCGACCCCTCCGCTGGGGTACCGTGAGAAGTCTCCGGGAGGGTCGACCCCTCCCCTGGGGTACCGTGAGAAGTCTCCGGGAGGGTCGACCCCTCCCCTGGGGTACCGTGAGAAGTCTCCGGGAGGGTCGACCCCTCCGCTGGGGTACCGTGAGAAGTCTCCCGGAGTTTTCCCGCAGGCTCCCTGTGGCACTTCCAACTCATTCCTGACACTTACAGCTACGGGGCAACAACAACAACAACAGCTGCAGTACCCACAACAACAACAACCACCACAACAACAGCTGCAGTACAGACCACAACAATCGCAGTACCCACAACAACAACCACCACAACAACCGCAGTACACACAGCAACAACCACCGCCACAACAACCGCAGTATCCACAACAATCCCCACAACACACACATCAACAGCAACTGCAGTACACACAGCAGCAACAACCACAACAACTGCAGTACCCACAACAACAACAACAACCACAGTACAAACAGCAACAACAACAGCAATACACACAGCAGCAACAACAACAACAACCATCGCTGCTTTACACACCACCACAACAACAACAACAACATTCGCCACAGTACCCACAGCAGCAACCATCGCTGCTTTACACACCACAACAACAACAACCGCAACAACCCCAGTACCCACAGCAGCAACCATCACCACAGTACACACCACCACCACCACAACAACAACATTCACCACAGTACACACAGCAAACACAACATTCACTGCAGTACACACATCAACAACCACCACAACAACAACAACCGCAGTACACTCAACAACAATACGCACAGCAGGCACAACAAAATTGCGCGCAACAGTCGCCACCACAAACACAACAACCATCGCCACCACCGCAGTACACACAGCAACAACAACAACCACAACAACCACAACATTCATCACCGCAGTACGCACGGCAGCAATCGCCATTACAACCTTCACTGCAGTACACGCAGCAACCACAACAACAACAACAACAACCATCACAACAACAATATCACACGCAGCAACAACAACAACTATCTCCACAACAATATCACACACAACAACAACTATCTCCACAACAGCAAAAGCACACACAGGAACAGCAACAGTTGTACACTCAACAGCAGCATGTCCAGATGGATTACACACAGCAATTACAGCCACCGTATGCACAACCACCCTATGCACAACAGCCGTACACCCAGTACACTCAACAACAGCCGTACACACAGCAACAGCCAGATCACATTCAACATTCGCAGTACACGGAGGAACAGCAGCAGCAGCAGCTGCAGTACAGCCAACACCGTCAGATTTCACCGCAACAGTACTACACACAGCAGCAACAACAACCACCACAACAACCACTACAACAACCACTACAACCACAACAGTCGCAGTACGCACAACCACAGCTGCACTCGCTCCATCAGTCGTCGCCCACACGGTCGCAGCATGGGACACCACAACCAAAGCACAGCCCGCAACAGCCGGACGTACAGCCGCCACCACTACTGCAACAGCAACAGAAGCAGTACCAGCAGTACCAGCAGTACTTGCAGTACCAGCATCATCATCGGCAGCAGCAGCAGCAGCAGTTTACACGGCAACAATCGGTAACACTACAACAGCAGCGTCAGCAGCAGCAGCAGCTGGAGAAGAACTTGAACCAGGAGCTTGTGGAGATGGCGATGCGCGACTCGTACGAGGATGGTGAGACGTGGAAACACGTGGAGAGACACACAGAGACACACAGAGAGACATGGAGAGAGACACACAGAGAGAGACACACAGAGAGACACACAGAGAGACACAGAGAGACACAAAGAGAGAGAGACATGGAGAGAGACAGAGAGAGACATGGAGAGACACACACAGAGACACACAGAGAGACACACAGAGAGACGCACAGAGACACATGGAGAGAGACGCACAGAGAGACACACAGAGACACACAGAGAGAGAGACACAGACAGACACGGAAAGAGAGACACAGAGACAAGAAGACATGGAGAGAGAGAGACAGAGAGAGACACACAGACAGACATGGAGACAGAGACACAGAGAGACAAGAATACATGGAGAGAGAGACAGAGAGAGACACACAGATAGGGAGACACGGGAACTTGGGATAGGGACACACAAGAGAGAGAGACACACAGAGACACATGGAGAGAGACGCACAGAGAGACACTTGGACATGGGGATAGGGAGATACGAGAGAGACACACAGACGGAGAGAGAAGGAGACATGGAGACAGGGAGACGTGGAAAGAGACACACAGTAAGACAGGCAGACACGGGGATAGGGAGACACAGGGCCATGTCTCTGTCTCCTGTGCTCATATGCCTGCGTCTCCCTGTCTCCCCCTGTCTCCCCCTGTCTCCCCGTGTGTCTCCGTGTGTCTCCCCGTGTGTCTCCGTGTGTCTCCGTGTGTGTCTGCGTCCTCCCGTGTGTCTCCATGTGTCTCCGTGTGTCTCAGTGTGTGTCTGCGTCTCCCCGTGTGTCTCTCCGTGTGTCTCTGTGTGTGCCTGTGTCTCCCTGTCTCCCTGTGTGTCTCCCCGTGTTTCCGTGTGTGTCTGCGTCTCCCCGTGTATCTCCGTGTGTGTCTGTGTGACTCCGTGTGTCTTCGTGTGTGTCTCCGTGTGTGTCTCCGTGTGTATCTCCATGTGTGTCTCCGTGTGTCTCCGTGTGTCTCTGTGTGTGACTGCGTCTCCCCGTGTGTCTCCGTGTGTCTCCGTGTGTGTCTCCGTGTGTCTCCGTGTGTGACTGTGTCTCTCCGTGTCTCAGCTTTGCTGCGCCACCAGACGCTGCGTTTCCAGTCTCTGGTGGAGGAGACGCGGAGACTCGGGGAGACACGGGACAAGCTGAGACTGGAGGTGTGCGATGCGGAGACGCGGAGACACCGAGATACGGAGACACGCGGAGACATGGGTCTCATGGTGAATGCTACTACAACTACAACCACCACAAACATAACTACCACTACAACTACTATCACTACAACTACTATCACTACAACTACCACCACTACCACTACAACTACCACTACAACTACTACCACTACAACCACCATCAACCAAACGTCCCTCTCTAAAACCATCGGCGGCAAGACCTCCCAGACTCTATGGTCTTCCCAGGATCCATAAAGAAGGCACCCCGCTACGACCCATCGTGTCTACAATCAACTCTCCTACCTACAAACTAGCCAGTTTTCTATGAGATACTCTGCTTCCCTTCACAGGCAAGACCTCTTCGGCAGTACTCAACTCAACCCAATTAGTCTCTATAGGTCAAGGACATGGTACTATCTCCTGATGACATCCTCGTCAGCTTTGATGTAGTATCTTTGTTCACCAAAGTCCCAGTACCTGACACCCTAACAATAATTGAGGACTTGGTCCAACATGGATTGAATTCTGATGTACCTGCGCTGGTTAGGCATTGCCTCACCAACACTTATTTTACCTGGAATGGCACCTTCTACAAACAGAATGAGGGTACCCCTATGGGCTCCCCCTTGTCACCAGTGATAGCCAACATGTTCATGGAAAAGTTTGAATCAGACGCCATCCAGACATCCACCCTGCGTCCTTCCCTGTGGAAGAGGTATGTGGATGACACTTTCGTCATTTGGCCACATGGCCTCCCAGCATTGAAACACTTCTTGGACCACATCAATTCCAGACACCCATCCATCAGATTCACGATGGAAGTGGAGAAAGATGGTAACTACCATTCTTAGATATTCTGTTTGAGAGGAGACCTGACGGATCCTTGGGACATTCTGTCTACAGGAAAGCCACCCACACAGATTCCTACTTGAAACCTGATTCCCACCACCACCCATCTCAAAAGAATTCTCTCATCAAAACACTATACCACAGAGCTCATGGCATTTCTGACCAACACCACCTGGCCAGTGAATTAAGACATGTACATCGGGCCCTCGGGATGAACGGATACTCTGACCGCACCATCCGCCAAGCTGTTTCTCCCACCATACAGAAACAGCCACTTGAAACTCCGATCAAAAGTATCACGTTGCCATACATAGCAGGCGTGACCAAAAAGATCTCCAAAATTCTAAGCAAACATAAGATCCAAGTCCGATTCAGTACAGTACATAAAATCCAGTGATCTAATTACATCTGTGAAAGATGTCATTCCTGACTTACAATACCCTGGAGTCTACAAACTGAGTTGCAGCTGTGGTGATTGTTACATTGGAGAAACGGAACGTCATATCTCTGATCGTGTCCGCGAGCACAAGTCAGATCTGAAACACGGCAAAACTGATTCTTCCGCCGTTGCCGATCATTGCTACAACGCTGTGGGCTCTCATGAAATTGTCTTTTCCAAGACCAAGGTGCTCTGCAAACCTCCTGGCTACCATCAAAGGTTTGTACACGAAGCCATCCAAATATACAAACACAGACATAATTTCAACCGTGATGATGGGTACAAACTTAGTAATCATTGGAAAGATGTTATTAACCATGCAAAAAAGATTTAACTACACATATTTGGACCATCTTATTTGACAGGCACTATTCTTCAGTTACCGTATAGTTTCTTCTTTTTTCACACACTGGTTTTCCTGCTTTAAGTTTTACCACACATATTTGGCAAATCTAGAATTAATCCCAGCAACGGAGCAAAGTGCTGTTTCATCTACATAACAAAGGCTCAGTCCCATTCACGGCAGCCGCACCTTTACATCAGCCGCACCTTAACAACTCTTGGAACCTCCCATTTCAACCAGTCTACACAACAAAGGCTCATTCCTAGCAGCGTGCTTCAGCCGCACCGAACCTCACAATAATAATATCCAGGGGCCTACCTTGGCTCCTCCCACCCTCAACCAGTATATATACAAGGACTGTTTTCTTGGAATTTCTCTCACTTGATACAGCAGTCGTGCTGTGACGGTTCCACCTGAAGACGGAAGCTTGTGTTGCCTCCGAAACGTCGTCATTTTTATTTTATTTTTAATTTACTTTTATTAATTTTAATTTTTACCTACGTGGCTTTTCCGAAAAAACCTAAGAATATAGTATTGTCATCAGTTTGACATAAGTATACCAAGTTTGCAGTCGATACCACATTGGGAAGTGGGTAAAAATTGAGTTACAAGATTTGAGGATACAACAACAGACAGTGTGAGCTCAAACACATTCCTTCGGAGTGGGCAGGTAGGAACTTGGTTGGACGGCGCATTCGTGCAATCCGTGTCACGTGGCGCAAGCTGCATGGGGCGGCGCGTCACGTGGTGCTGAGCCCACCCGAAGCGCTCTATGAAATACAAATCGAGGGCGTGGCTATGCACGACAGACAGACAAATAATCCCTGGTGGGCAGTGTGGACCTGTTGTTCCTACCTGTATAAAAGTGTGTAAAAAGAGGCTGTAGAGAGAGTGGTGAGTCAAATTCTTGCGGCACCAGGATGGTGTCACCGTGTTGTTGGCCTCCTTACTGCAGCTGCCAAGGAGGGCATCTCCCGAGGCTTCCAGAAACAATCCACTTCCTGCTTGGACAAAAGAGACCCAGGACCTGCTCCGACAGTATGACCAGTTGGGCAACCCACAGATTGGAAAGGCCCTGCCTCTTAGCCAGATGTCAGTGGTAGACTGAGTGCATTGAAGGCCTGGACTTCACACACTTGAGAACACAAAAGGACTTCTCGGCAAATATTAAGCGAGATATCCATTGCTAAATTGCACCGGACATTGGACTCAATTTCTTCACAAGACCCCGCCTCCATCAGCACAGTGGAAGTGAGTGAGGGTCTGGCTACAATGACGAAAGGCAAGGCTGCTGGCAGAGATGGTACCCCCCCAGAATTCCTCCATTACTTAGGCCCTAAGGGTCACCAATGGCTGGAATATCTGTACACCAAAACCATGAAAACCAGATGCATCCCAAATGTATGGCGGGAGGCGATGGGTCTTGCTACGCCCAGACCGGGGAAACCAAGTGACCACCTGGGAAGATATCGGCCAATATCACTCTTGTGCACGGGTCCACAAACTCCTGGAACGCATCATCCTCCGGAGAATCGCCCCCCTCGTCGAGTCCGTGATCCCCTGAAGAACTAGCACGATGAGTTCAGCCTGGACGCAGCAGCTGCTGCTGTGACGAAGTTTGGGGCCCTTGCAACGCAGATCGAGGCCGGATTCCAGAAGAAAACCAAGACCTGCATGGCCTTTGTGGACTTATCGTCGTTGATTTATTTTTATTATTTTATTGTTTCCCTTCTACGTGACTCTACAGAAAGAACCAAGAATATGAATCCCTGCAGTCACCAAAGCTTTAAATCGAAATTCAAGGGTAAACCAGAAACTTGTAAACACTCGCTGGAAAGCATCAGCACGCTCAGTGCCGCGGACATCAACGATGGCGCTTGTGTCCTCTGTAGCCGAACGCTGTGCACCAGTGTAGACCAGAAGTCATCACCTCTCGACTTGTTAATGTCCAACTGAATACTGCAATTTGGTGGTGTATCACTGGAACTCTCAAGACGACCTCCAACTCCGTGGTTGCCTGTGCTGTCGCCAAATCTCTTCCCCCCCACCCATCAACTGCAACGCTGCAACCCTCCGGGAAATCCTTTCGACTCGATGCAAACAGTCACCCATTCACTGGGACCTCAGTATTAGACTCCTCGTCAACGCCTGAAGTCACGCAAGTCCTTGTGGACCCATGCGCTGCACCTTAAATAATTATAATTCGCGAAGCTTATGGTCCACCCTACATTGTATCCACACAAACCGAGGCAGATGTGGATACCTGATGCACAAATGGAAGATTAAAAACTCTCAAGCATGCGACTTTGGTCATCCAGAACAGACTACAACATTTATAATGACACAATGCCCGACGACCCACAAATACGAAGTAGATATCACAGCGACAGGTACACTCCTCTGGTCCTGACGCAGTTATTTGGCTTGACCACCTGAATGTGAAATTGCAGTTGTAGCCTCGCATCTACATCAGAAATACAAAAGAAGAAAACTACAACTACCACCAATAGAGTTACTCAACTACAACCAGTGCCGTAATCTACCATCATCATTACAACTAACATAACCACCACTACTATCACAACAACTACCGTTACAACTACCATCACCAAAGTACAATTTGCTGTGGATGGAAAATTGACTACTCCGTCTTTTGCATGTCTCTCTCCCTGTGTCTCTCCCCGTGTCTTTATCCCCAGTGTCTCTCTCCGCGTGTCCTCCTCTCTCTCCCCCATGGATCTATCCCCGTGTCTCTCTCCCCGTGCCTCCACCTCTCTCCCCGTGTCTCCACCTGTCTCCCCGTGTCTCTCTCCCTGTGTCGCCACCGCTCTCCCCGTGTGTCTCTCCACGTACACGTCAGATGGAGGAGGTGTGGAGATTGCGGAAGCTGTGTGTGGGACTGCAGGTCTCCGTGGCATGTGTTTGCAGAGAGCTTGACCTCCTGGGAGACACAGGTACAAGATTTTATTTCATCGCCACCCTCGAGATAGGGTGACTTTCATGTCCGAGCGGGTCATGATGCAGACACCTGGTCTGGAGTGATTGGAAGGCATGGGCCAGATCAGCGCAATAACAATGGTAGGAGGCTGCTAGACTTCTTTGCAGCCTATGAACTTGTGAGAGTGATTTGGTGGGGGAGTGTGTGTCTGTGTGAGTGAGTATGCGGTAGTGTAGTGGTTAGCGCGCTGTAATTGCTGCTCATGGCCAACACCGGTGACGATTATCTGTACCGGTCCTGGACCTCCTCTAGGTCGACTCAGCCTTAAATGAATACCTGGTGCGATGTGTAAACATCTCCACTGGGGAGACAAAGGTGGCTAAGAGTGGTGCTAGCCACCCACTCCCTAGTGTGCCATGCTGGCCTTCATAGGCGCTCGCTAACAGCACTTGCCCCAACAGTCTGTTAAGGCTACACGGTGCATCTTTGTCTTGTTTGAGTTGTTGGTGATGTTTTTTTAATGTCTGGATTGTGTGAGGAGCTCACAAATCCTCAATAGAATTGGACACAGTCCCCATCATCAGAGATGGAGCTGATGCGTGTCTTCACATGTCTCCGTGTATTCCTTAGGGATGCCCTTTGACCCGGATGTGAATTCAAACTTCCATGACAACATGGGTTACCCTGGACACAAGCTACCTCGAGTGAAGACAGGTGAGCGATCCGATTCACAGATTCACACAAAAAATATTGACCAAATAGTTTGTAAGATTTTCCGTAAAGTTCCGTTGTTTAAAATATGGCCTTGCCTACTTGAAAATAATGTCACACGATGTCAATACTTTTGGCGAGAAAAAACACAGGAAGTGACATCATAGGAAGTGGCATCATAGGACGTGACGCTCAAGGCAGGAGCATCACAGAAATTACGCAAAATGACATCACGTTTTCGGATAATTCTAAATAATTATTTTTCTTCATTTTTATGATTGTTATCCCATGTGTGTTATCCAAAAAAGCCTCGCTAAGTCTCTAGAAGGGTTCTGACAATGTTTTTGCAGTCGGGGGTGGGGGGTGATGATGATTAAGAATTAGGCATTAGCTTTTTCGGCAATAACATCGGAGTTGTGTTCAGATGTTCAAACACCAAATCGATACCGATTATTGCAAGGCATCACCAAAGTCTGCATTAACCAAACAAACAAACGTGGTTTGATAATCGTGTCCGCATTGCCTTTCAAACTGATTGGCCTGCACCAGACATTGCCACCTTCATGGGCCACCGAGGTAGCTGCTGGGCAGTTGGAGACAGTCGCCCTCCAGCAACAACGGAGGGCGGAGGAGCGACGCTCACAACAACGAGCGGAGCGCCGGGCGGCTAAAATGAAATAGAGTTGGTGCAGTAGGGGGCACAGATGGTGCATCTGCCAGTGATCTCAGTGTGCCGACCCATGGCACCTGCTGGGTCTGTCCCGTGACCTCCTACCAGGAGAGAGCCTTTGACGCTTCACGTGGCCTCGAAGTGCACCTGGCCTGGCACAAGCACCGTGGTGACGTGTGGATGTCGGCATGGGGGGTCGGTGGTGCAGCACTCTGCGTGCTGCGCCTCGTACCTGGTGACGCGAGTTCGATTCCCGCTCTGAACCATTCCTGGGCCTCCCTTAGGTCGACTCGGCCTCAACTAAGTACCTGGTGCGTTATCAACATCACCACTGGGGAGACAAAGGCGGCCGGGCGTGGTGTTGGCCACCCGCCCCCTCGTGTGTCGTGGCGGCCTTCATAGACGCTGCTACTCGCTAACAGCACTTGCCCCTACAGCCTGTCACAGGGATTTTTGTGTGTTTGTGTGGGGGGGGAGTGGTGGCGCAGCGGTGAGCGCATTGCGCCATAAACCCGGTAGAGACCCGAATTCGATTCCCACTCACGGCCACCACCAACACCGATGGTAGCAATTAACCCATCCCCTAGGTCGACTCGGCCCCAAACGAGTACCTGGCGCGGTGTGTGGTGAACATAACCACCGGGGAGACAAAGGCGGCCGGGTGGTGTCGTGCCGGCCACCCGCCCCACAGTGGCCGCCTTTCACCGTCTCCGCTGCTGCTGCTTGTTACTCACAGCACTCGCACCCCGACGGTCTCTCAAGGCTACACGGGGGACCTTTGCCTTTGTGTGCACATGCAGTCGGCCACACGAAGCCGAAGGCGGGAGAAGGGGGGAGCGAGACGAAGGTGGAGGAGGCGGTGACGGCGGTGGGGGCGGTGACGGCGGTGGGAGCGGTGGGAGCGGTGGAGGCGTTGGAGGCGGGCTCGTGGGACTGTATCTACTGCACGTTCGCCAACCACGGCAGCCTCCCGCACTGCGAGCTCTGTGAGATGCCCCGGCCATTGTGAAGTGGGGAGGAGGCACCGGGAGAGATTCGGAGACACGGGGACGGAGACACGGGGTGGGCGGGGGGGGGGAGACACGGGGAGACACGGGGAGGAGACACGGGAGAGTGACACAGGGAAAGACTCGGAGACACGGGGAGACACAATGTGAAGCTGGAATATGACACGGTGGGGGGTGGGGAGACACGGGGGGACACGGGGAGACGCGTTGCGACTGGGAGAAACGGTGAGACAATGGGGATACTTTAAGGCACACTTGGAGACACGGCGAGACACTGGGGGACACTGGGGGACGAATTGAGACACTGAGAGATGCTGGCATACATAGTAAGACACTGGAAAAAACTGAGACGGGGAGACACTTGAGACACTGTGAGACATTGTGAGACACTGTGAGACATGGGGAGACATGGAGAGATAGTGTGAGACACTGGGAGACGAGACACTGTGAGACACTGTAAGACACTGTGATACACTGTGAGACACTGTGATACACTGTGAGACACGGAGAGACATGGGGAGACATTCAGACAGGGAGACATGGAGAGATAGTGTGAGACACGGGGAGACATGGGGAGACATGGGGAGACACGAGGAGACACTGTGAGACATGGGGAGACATGGGGAGACACTGTGAGACACTGGGAGACACGGGGAGACATGGGGAGACAGTGTGAGACATGGGGAGACAGCACGGGGAGGGAGGAGACCCGGGGAGGAGACACGGGGAGTAGACAGTATGAGAGGGCTGTACACACTGATCCAGTTGTATGGTTTGTTTTTGCATTTGTCTGAGACCAAGTTTAATTGTATATTCCAATTTGTTTAAGCAATGCTGTGTGGATTTGTAAATGGTAATGGCTGCCTATTATCAAGTACGTATCTGTGTGTGTGTGTTGTACTTCTGTCGCACCGTAACGGAGCCAATTGTGCTCATCGGAGGTGCGGGGGAACGACAACAAACTAAATGCAACAAGCAGTTCTAAAGAAGTGCGTTTGTCAATGTAGATGATGATTTAAAAGTGCATAACTCCAGTGGCTTCCTGATATCTGAAGGAAGAGCATTCCAGATGGCCGCAGAAGCAGATCTGCAAGCGCCGCACGGTGCGGTGACCGTCTTTGTCTGATGGTTTTTAGTGTGAGTTTTCAAGCAATACTTTCCACAGGTCTACCCCCGACTTGGGAAAAGGACGCGTTGGTGAGACGTTAACTACCTCGCCTGGTATACAGGAGGTCGTGGGTTCGATACCCACCCTGGCGCCTGCTGCTGTGTATTTGGAGTCTGCGTGTCTCTCTCATCATCATTATCACTGTGGCTCGGAGATGTTGACTGCCTCGCCTGGTATACAGGAGGTTGTGGGTTTGATACCGACCCTGACGCCTGCTGCTGTATATTTGGAGTTTGCGTGTCTCTCTCTCTCTTCCCGTGGTCGCGTGGATTTTTCTGCGGCTCCTCTGGTTTTTCCGTCCACATTTAGAATCAACGTGCGTTCGGATTTTTTTGGCTGCTGCTGCTGTAAATTTCCACGTGATTTGCAACTCCGTTAAGCTGATATTATTAGTGCCCAGGTACCTGGATAAATACAAAAAATAGTTTCGTTTTAAGAAACGCGAGCAAAAACGAAATTTCGGAAATCGGAAAGTCCCCACCAATGTAATGCTAAAAATTAGCGCTGTGTTTCAGACAGTCAGTTATTCCTCCAGGATAAATAAAGATTCTGATTCTGACAATACACCCCACCTATACAACTGCTTACAATAGAATAATTATAATGAACACACACATTAAAACAATCGAATCATAATTCAAAACAGATGTAATTAACGCAAACCTGTCAACCCCTCAGTGCCATCACAGACCAACTCAGACCTTAGTGGTCACCCCGTTCCCTTATAAATCTCAACGTTCATCTTACAAAGCTCCATCACAAGGGAGAAACACAAACACAGACAGGAAAACCTTGGACTGCGAGTAACTTGGTCTGCGAGTGTTTTGCAAGACGAGCAAATTTGTGAAATAAATATTTATTTGATAAACGAGCGAGGTCTTGCAATACGAGTAGTACGTGTAGACGCTTTGTCTGCCGAGCGTCACGTGATAACTACTGATGTACGAGTGCTTTGATATACGAGTGCTTTGGATTACAAACACGTTTCCAGAACGAATTGTGCTCGCTAATCCAAGGTGTTACTGTAGGTAAAATTTGTGTTAACTTAATTCCCGTGTACAATAATGCGGGTAAACCACATGGGTTGATGGGTGTGGTAACCTTTTCAGGGGAGCTCGACAACATGTCTGCTGCACGTTGGAATGCTTGGAGGGGCGGTGTGGAGGCGTTGCTGTTGCCCTTTCGTGACACCTGTGACTTCTTGGCAGATCAGAATCTTTATTGAGACCGCAGCAGGAGGAATCTGATCAGCTATGAGGCTCTTCTGAACAGATGCCCAGACGCAGATGGATGGCACTGCGCTTTGTTTGATGATCGCATTGCCGCGTGAAATTCGATTTCGCTAATCGTAAAAAAAAACGGTCCACAATTTTTCGATTTAAAGCTTTTGTGACTGCAGGGATTCATCTTATTGGTTCTTTCGGTAAAGTCAATATGCTTAATTCCGCGGTTGATATGTAAATACCACCTACACATTTCACAAGGAGTGACTAATCCCATATCTGCATTTTCCATCAATATGCTTAATTCTGCTGTTGATATGTAAACTCCTTTGTCAAGGCGCTCTCCTCTAACCCAGCTTAAATATACGCTGCCAAGCTTGGCGGTGTTCATTCGGACGCTGTCTTTCCGACATCTCTGTTTCTTCACCTGAGGACGGCTGCTTGTGTTGTGGCCGAAACGTCGTGAGAATTTTTATTTGATGTTGCATTATTTTATTTTTTCCCTTCTACGTGACTTTACCGAAAGAACCAAGAAGATGGGTCCACAATTTGACGATTGCGTGAATGTAAAACGTCGTAAACCGATCGTTCGTAAACATGGAGGCCTGCGACCTCTTTCGTTATCCTCCACTTCACTCCAGCAATGGGCACTAGATCGCAGTGGCAATACCTATCAAGTGTACGTTTTCGAGTGGCATGTCCTATTGTATCTACCAATTCCCTTGAGCAGCAATGCTGACGATTGCTTTCCGCACTTATGATTTGCAACACTTTCCAAGTCGACGTGTTCAACTGGCTGTAATCCCGATGTGGCAGATCACTTGAGCGGCGGGGGGCGTTTGATTATTATTTCCTAGTGCTGCAAAGATAGCAAAAAGGTGTTCAAAGTGTAAATTGTGGCAATACCCATTCAATGCGACGGCATTCCATAGTGTTCATAGGCGGCTACGATTTAAGTTTCCCGGCTTGCTTTGAGGCATGGGGGGTACTGGATGTCCGAGTGCGCCCTGGCGAACGTGGCGGCTTGCTTTGTGGAACGCGGGCAATTAAACAGGAATGTGAATACGGCGGTGCTGGTTGGTGCTGGTTGGTGCTGGTTGGTGACTGACTTCTGTGACCTCACAAAGGCGGCAGTGGCAGCAGCAGCAGCGTTGTGAGCGAAGTGACTTGGATTGCGAGTCCGGGAAAACCTCGCTTCATACACGAGTTGGGGATTCTGGATGTTTCGCGAGTTGCGAAATGTCGTCCTGGACACTAATTCGCTATCCGCGACCCGCCGGACTCCAGAATTCGCGAGTGTACATCCAGTAGATCATCGGTCATTCAGTAGATCGTCGATTATACAGTAGACCATCGATTATCCCAGCGGCTTCGGAGTGGAGGGGGGTATCGGATTTTCAAAAACGTCGGATAATCGCGATGAATCGTTATTTAAAATATCTAATTTTTGCACATTCTTGCATAACATGTTTGTAGGTGTTGTGTTTATGTTCTGTAGTGTTTAAAATGTTTCCTATGTGAAATTGGCTTTAAATAAACATACAAATAGACGAAAATAAATATCCTTTAAAAAGTTACCGTTTTTACCGTACCACTCCAATGTCGGAGTGATATATATATATAAAACGTGCAGTGTTTTCAGTTGTTTAAGTTGAATGTCGTGTATAATGTACTTAATACAATAATGTAGTGAGCGACTTCCGACACGTCTAGTAGAAGGCTTTTTATTTATTAAGAGCCCACAGGGCGATACACTTCGTCACGCGGCTACACCTCGGCTGTCCAAACACGCCGCCCACCTCCGTCCTGCGCTACGCTGGCTGATCAACGAGCATAGCGGCGGCGACGCAGCTGGTCTTGCAGAAGAACGGCCACGTGGTCGATGACGACGGCAGTGAGGCAACCAGGACCCAGACCCCACTCTCACAGCCCCGAATCTCTGGTTCGGTGCTCATTACATCTGCCTGGCGCAGCCTGGCTCTGTCTCTGGCCACGCCCCCTTTCCAGAACCTTCGGGTTGGTTCCTGGAGCTTCTTGGCTGACTCCGCCCTTGACCTTTACCCCAGACACGCCCTTCATAACAAGGCATTATGTAATGCAGCTACAACTGTAATTACCCCCACAGGCCGGCAGGTGTCACCGTGTCATTATAATAAGACACCGAAATCAAACGTCGCTACTTTTTTTTGGTCACGCTACACGATGCCGATTGCTGGACTGGTTACAGCTTTTGGAGCGGTGTTTTGCCGGATCAGCCCGGGACCGCCGGATAATGTTGGAAGCAGCAGCCGGATAATCGCGTGATTCCGGATAATCGATGATCAACTATAGTGTCACTGACACCAGGGAGGTGCGCACTGAATGTTACATTTGAAGCTTTAACACACAGTCGTAGTCGGAGGTTTTCACGACCAATATCCATAACAGGTTTTTGTTGGGTTAGATCGTGTAAATATAAAATATGGTGTTGTTAAACCCGCCACCACCCGACACAGCCAATCGGTAACGTTTGTCACGTAAACTAAATGTGCCAATTAGTTACAAAATCTAACCCCCCCCCCAAAAAAACTCCATTGTGGATACATTTGAAATTGTCTGCGAAGATGAGGCAATGCCCCCTTGGCTGCCCGCTTTGTCTTCAGTCTCGCAGTAATCCTGCTCTGAACTTGATACGTACTTAATACAATCAACTCTACACATTTTGGTACAAACGAGTCGACCGTTGGGTCAATGATTCAAAATAAGGGAAAGTGTTGCAGGCCAATGCACTACCCCCCCCCCACCCCCCGAGTACTAAAGTGATAACAGCGGTTTACGCAGATGCCTGCATCTCCCCGAGGAGTCATCATAAATTCCTCACCACCACGTCCGTCGTTATCATCAAAGGTAAACAAAAAACACTCATTGTTCTGTATAATTCATTAATTGTAGTAATCACCATTAAACATTTACCATTTCTTGATGCACAAATTTCCCCTCGCTTCAGTTGGCGTTCGAAGTTCGGAGAGGACCGTGGCCCTGAGTGGAACGGTGCCATCCCCCGTGATCCGTGGCTCAAACAAAATCACTCGAGATGATGGCGTGTGTCAGCCAAGAGGAGTTCATGTGAATTCTGTCGCGAGGGGTCACACAATTGAACACGTAGGCAACGTAGTGGGTTTACTCTCCAACACACCAGTGTGCTGTACTCGTGTAGTGTCAATGATTCGGAGACAAGGTTTGTAGGAGGCACCTTTATTAACACCATTCCCGGTCTCGTCCACAACTCCCCACAGGAGCTCAGCCTCGCCTGTGCACAACACTGGTCGTCTAACACTGACGACGCTGACTGAGATAGCCAACTACTATCTTGTAGTGCGACGTCTAGCGGGGACGGCAGTGACTACGAGACGAGTCCACTCCCAGCACCGGCAGCCCTGAGCCCCCCACTCTCGGCTCCTTTTATGCTCCCGGCGCGTCCTGGCTCCGCCCTGACCACGCCCCCTTCACGAACTCACCCGCAGGTTCCAGGGGCTCCAGACGGGGTCCTCCGTGACCCTTGCCCTAGTTCCTCCGCTCTGCCCACACACCATGCACACCCTCACCACCCTCACCGGCTTGTGTGCTGTCTGTCCACCGCAGTTGCCGCTGTTGTCCACCAGCCGGCGCTATTACGCTACACATTACTATACACTACACTATACACTACACTATACACTACACTATACCTACTATACACTACACTATACACTACTATACACTACTATACACTACACTATACACTACTATACACTACACTATACACTACTATACACTACACTATACACTACTATACACTACACACTACACCATACACACACCCCATACACACACTATACACTACACTATACACACGACACTATACACTACACTACTATACACTACACTATACACTACAGTACACACTACACTATACACTACACTATACACCACACTATACACTACACTATACACACTACACTATACACTACAGTACACACTACAGTATACACACTACACTATACACTACACTACACACTGCACTATACACACTACACTATACACTACAGTACACACTACAGTATACACTACACTATACACTACACTCGTAACGAATTGGCACGTTTTGATTGCGTGACATCCACCTTACTGATTGGTGGTGGCGGGTTTAACGACACATTTATATTCACGCGATGTAACCCAACAAAAACCTCTTGTGGATAAGTCACGTTTGGGGCGAGACGCTCCTTCACTGACTCTGCCTGATGAATTAATTATCTCTTCCCCCCCCGCCCCCCACTACGTTTACTCGTACCAAGGAACAGTAAACCGCCGGTTTTTCGGAATGAGGTTTCTGCATTCGCGAGCACTTTCAAGAAAGTCAACTCCCATCAGGAGGAAAGAGGATGACGATCGCTTGTGTCGTGATTGAAACGTCGTAGTTTTTGGTTTATTTTAAAATGTATTATATTTTTATTAATTTGTACCTCCGTGACTTAATGTGTGGTTGATGCAAACTTGATGCCTTGCAAAATGTCAACTATTTGGCGTTTGAACATCTCGACACAAACTCTTTGGTTCTTTCGGTAAAGTCACGGTAGGTAGAAATAAAATAAAACAAACCACGACATTTTGATCACAACACAAGCGCACGACTTCATCAGGTGGGACAACCACAGCAAGACTAACGCTGAAGTCGGCGGGAGAGCTGCCGTGGCGAGAGGTTATATCGGTAAGAGAGGGGGGGAAGGGGGTAGGGGGAGAGGCCGCGTGAGCGCTTGGGGAAGATGACGTGAGGCTGGGGCTGGGGACGTTTCTACCCACGTGACTTTACCGAAAGAACCAAAGCGTATGGATTCCTGCAGTCACGAAAGCTTCAAATCAAGAATCTCAACACAACTCCTGGTTTTATTACCGTAGAGGGTGAACCCTAACTACACATTTGTACCATCTTATTTGACAGGTACTATTCTACTTTACCGAGTGTTGACATCCCCAGCGTTTAACAGTACTGCTTTTATTTTGATTATCAGCCAACACCGGCCACAACCCCGAGTTGAGGTGCACTATTGTTCTCTTTTAGTCCCCCCCCCCGTGCCATTCCCTGGCTACCACATTCAGATAAGCCCCTCCCCCCTCGCCATTAACTTGTATTTAAGGGCTTGTCTCTTGGAATTTTTCGTCACTTGAGACAGTAAATTTAGCTGTGACGGTCCCACCTGATGACGGAGACTTGTGTTGCCTCCGAAACGTCGTGATTTATTATTTTATTTATATATTTTTTATTACTTATTTTTTACCTACGTGACTTTACCGCAAAAACCTAAGAGTATGAATCCTGGCAGTCACGAAAGCTTCAAATCTAGAATGAGCCCTATTATTATGTTTCACCATTACGACAGCTTCCCCAGCCAGCTGCAAAACTCTGGAATAGGCGAAGCGCTGCCATGAGCTTGACAACGACACTGCACTGAGGGTCAGTGGGCCTGGCTCCCGTACTGGGGACACATCGTGGACAGGTTAGAGGATAACCTCGTCAAAGCAGGTTATAGTTAACGTGCATATGAAAGGTTTTTTTGTAGTTAGATCACGTGAGTATAAATGTGTCGTTAGCCCACCACCACCCACCACCACCCCAGTGAGGTTTGTTACGTCCATAAATGACGTCACGCGATTTTGAACGATTTTGGACCCCCCACCCCCGTCACACGGCGTCACAAAAATTCAGACCCCCCACCTCAAATATGACGTCACAAAGCTCTGCCCCCCCCCCAAAAAATATAAAACATGCTTCAAATCGCTTTAAACTATTGTCATTGTAGTGCGTATTTAATGTGGCGCTGCACTCTGATGCTGTAGGAGAAAACATTTATTACAAAGTCTATTTAATTAAGTAGAACGTGTTGTCTATATTTATTTAAAGTTGCACATTTTGATGTGACGTCACATTTCTCACCCCCCCCCCCTCGTCACACATCGTCACAAATGTCTGACCCCTCCCCCCCCAGGTGAGTGACGTCATTGATGGACGGCCCCTCACTCCGCTGACTCCTGACCGCCGTGGTCCGCCTTGATCGCCTCAATGTCAAATTGTCCTCGTCGCTCTGCATCAGCAGCGACACGAGAGAAGAACCCAGCGCCGATGCTCCTGGCGATTCAGGAGGAGGCATTCCCGACTGACACTCGACGACAATTTTAATTTTTGGAGCTTTCGTGACTGCAGGAATTATTCTTTGGTTCTTTCGGTTAAGTCACGTCTAAAGATAAAATAATAAATTAAAATAATAGCGACGTTTCGATTGCAACACAAGCAATCATCATCAGGCATAAGAGAAATAGCAACAAAAATCTAACTAGAAAACTATAGACAGACATACAAGCAGACAGACATCACAAGGACACACAGAGAGAGGACACATATCGGCACAGAGAGAGGGGTCGTTACTGTGACGGTCCCTTAAATATAGGGAGGGGGGGCGGGGACGGAGAGAGGGAGGGGGCAGAGAAAATTAGCATATCAATGAGTGGACGACAACGTGTTGCTGCTGCGCAAGTAAGATGAC